TTCCCCCTTTTTCTTCTAGGCAACACTGATTTATAACTTTATCTTGTGTATTCTTCTTATTTATTGTTGTTGTCATCCTGTAAAGCGCTTTGAGAAGACACCTTTAAAGGCGCTATATAAAATAAAGTTTATTATTATTTATTAAAAAGCACCTGCCGGTCTCCGAGAGGGGCTGAGCGAGAGACAGAAAGTGCGCTTCTTACTGCACCGTGACAAATATAATCGGATGAGAGAACCCGTCTGCCCCAGATTTACAACTCGAATCCCCCAGAATTTCTACACCTGCCAGAATCACATCAACTCCCAATCCCCCAATCCTACTGGGAGAGGGAGGAGGGAACTCAGTTGAACTGGCAGCCCAGTATGTGATCTCCTGTCCCAGCCCGAGGAACCTGAGCCTGTCTCCCAGTAATGCTCCATATGTTTAAATGTGAATATTTTATGATGTGTCTGTATTGTGAATGTCTGCAGATTTTTTTTTAGGTTAATTGTATCTGTTCTGCTTTGGCAACACTGATTTTACTCGTTGGTCCCACCAATAAAGCACCTTGAATTGAATTAAGTACTCGGGCAGGACATCACGGGCGCCTCCCCAAATCCGGCACTAAGCCCTTCCTCCAAGACCGCACTGGAAGACTTGGCAATACCGCTGTTGAGTCAGAGCTCGTTGCTGTTAAATATTTCATCTGGCCCTGGAGGAAAAAAAAAATGACATAACAGGGAACATAACACGTTCATTCCCGTTGAAAAGGATTTATTGAAAAAGGGCACGATAAGATATATAAGGGCAACCTGGCAGAACCTCAAAGCTTTGAACTATCAGTCTTTCCGTGTACAAAACACACTGCAGGTCCACTAAACGAGCATTCATCAGTCAAAACAGGGGGACAAAATAAAAGCTTTGCGTCAACGCTTTGTATCTAGAATACAAACAGCGTGAACCTGAAGCAGCCTAACGACATTTCGTTTTGACATAATTCAATATTATGAGTTTAAAAGCTGTAAAAAGAAAAAAAAAAGTTTCGTTTTACGAGCAGGTGGATATTTGTTTTCCACATGGCAACCGCTTCTCGCTTTGGTGGGTTCGAACATGAAATGTCACCACTCCACAAGGAACTGGGGGCGATTCCCTTCAGCAAAGTCTGCACCAAGGTGGACTTCAGAGCAGGGCGCATTGCGAAACACAAATATCCAAACGGGACAACTAACTTCCGCCCTTGCAGACCAGAGCGGCTACGCACATATGAAGAGCTCAAAATCGCCCTGCTTCCACAGCGCCCCCTGGTGGCCCGGAGGGCACCTGGTCTCCACGTCCACTGATTCCCTCCGGCGCGGAACAGGTGGGAGGAGAAGGTCCTCCTGTTCGTGTTTAGGGCACTGAAAAGGTTCAAGTTATCTGAGGGGTTTCTGGCATGAGTGTAGTCCCACTCTTCAGGAGAAAGCTGGGTAATTCAGGTGTCACTCAGAGCACAAAACGTGAGGGAGCAAAAGAGTGGGGTCTTCTCTTATCCAGACAGTGTGCGGATCAGATTTCTGCAGCAGAGAACCACTGCAAGCGATGGATCGTATTGTAACGCATAAGGCCACCATTGGTTGTGAGAGCCGGCTTACCAGCGCGGTGACGTCACCGCCCTTCCCTGTGAATAGCAGGGACCTCAGCCGTCGGGCTGGGGGGAGATCTCCCTTTAGATCAACTGGCTGTGTCCCTATTGAGTGATGCCAGAGGCTCGGGTTCGAGCCCCCAGAGGTGGGGGGCGGACCTGAGGTGGCAGCGGCGAGGGCGCATACTCCCCTGAACCCGAGAGCGCCACAGTATCGTTGATCCATGTTAGTGTTCCCTTTGCTCTGAGCTCTGTGCCCCGCGCTCACGATCTTGTGATCTCATTTTTTAGGTTAATCCCCGGCATTTCTCTCCTCCCCCACCGCCAGCCATGGAGCTCTACGCCATCCCGGAAACCGACACCCTACTTCCCACTACTGCTGCCAGAGAGGCGAACAGCAGCTCCTCCTACACGAACCACACGCAGTCGCCCGTGTCGTCCGCCGCTCCGACCTCGCCTGAGCAGTGTTACCAGACGGCTCAGATCCTCCCGGCCGTGATCTACATCGTCGTCTTCTGCATGGGCCTGCCTGCCAACTGCTGGGCCCTGCGCCACCTGTACCGCAGGTACCGGGCTGGCACCCGGCTCTCGGTCTACGTGCTCAACCTGCTCCTGGCAGACTTCCTGCAGGTGGCCGCCATGCCGACTGAGATCTATCGCCACTTGAACGGTTTCCCCTATATGTATTATTTAAAGACAAAGAATTGGTATCTCCTGCGTGCTAGCAGTCTGTCATCCGTCGGGTTCCTAGTGTGCATCACCCTGGAGAGCTACCTGGTTATTGCTCAGCCTGCAGGTCGTGCCTGCATCGCTGCTTTTAAATGCGCCGTAGGCATCTGTCTGGGCTGGTGGGTTGGTGCAATTCTTTCCCTGTATCTGTTACAGATGTTCTGGGCCACCCTGGCTTTTTTCGTTGTGTACATGCTCGTCTTTTACCTGCTGCCTTTGTTCCTGCTCATGTACCTCTGCGTGGGCACCCGAATCGCCCTGGCCAGAGCCCCTGCAGTACCGGAGGCTGACAGGAGAGGCGCTGTGGGGACACTGACTCTCTCCCTGCTCATATTGATTCTGATATACAGCCCGTTTCACATTATGCAAGCCATAACATATTTTCACGCAACCTGGTGGCATTTGCCTCCCATATTTTACCTTGCTATACCGCGGATCCTCAGTCTTTGTGTGGTGTTTGCCCCTCTTGTGGTTCTGTTCATCAGAGAGCAGCCCAGAGCCCCGGGGCAGCATGGGACTGATCCCAAAGAGCAGGGGCCCGACCAGCTGCTGTGTGAGGCCGAGTCTGCTCTTTGAGCTGAGAAGCCTATAGCTGGGAGGTTGACTGAATCAAGACTGACAGTGATGGGCTGTCGTTCCACTTTTAACCCGAGGTGCTGTTTCAGTACACCTATGCAACACAACAACCGGCGAGCCAAACCTAGCATCCCTGCTTCTTATCATACAGGTGAAGAAGTGCCTCCCTTCATCAGATTTTTATTTTGTGGCAATTAACCAGGACGGACACCATTCTTAAAGAATGGGAGGTTTTTTTCCCGAATTTACAAATGATTACAAATTATTCAATGCAGCACAGCAAAGATCCAAGGAGGGAAAGGGGAAAACTATGATAATAAGGATGACTATGATAACAATCTTGTTGACTGCCATTGTTATTCTATGTGTTTCATTTGTGAGCCACTTGTTTGACTTGCAATACAGTATCTGTGGCAAACCTGCCTCCGAGTACATCTTTCACAGTTTAACCAGGGATAAAAGAAACAAAACAGCAAGGTGTACTGAAGCTGAATTGACAAACAGTTGATTGCTCACAGATGTATTCTATTCATCATGCTTCCTGTCCTTTATTCGGGATTGTAGGGTCTCATTTTCAAACCACACAGAAACTCAGTTGTTTCTTACAGGGACGGACTTAGGTGAAGGGTCTAGAGTCAGAGGTAAAAAGGGGGTAAAGTGTTTTGAAGCTAGAGCTCTATTTTAAAAACACAAGAAAATCTCATTCCTTACTGGTCCTTTAACAAACCTTTGCCAGAGATTCAGAAATCCCTTTAGTCGGTTCTTCCATTTTTGTCCCCTTTATTGCCAAACCACCTCTCCAGGGTGTTGTTTTGTGGTGTACTCATTAAAACAACAACAACAAAAAAAAACAACATAACTTATTCCGTACGGTTTAAAATTCCTTTTAACTTTTATTATTTAGAATTATTAAAGGCTCTCTCCTCTCTGTTTGTAACTCCATCGTTTGTACATATTCAAATCCATCTTCCCTTGATCTTTTCTTATTATTCTACTTAGAATTGCAGAGCTTGCGTGCAAAAAGTTAGATTATTTCTCAACTGTAAGATTTTTTTGTACTTTCTTCTATGCAGTTGCTACAGACCAATCTGTAATGTCACTGTACAGCTCTTTGAAATAGGCTTTGAATGTACATAAAATCCCACCTGAAGGACTACAGTACATTTTGTGCTGCTGAACGAGATCTAATTCGGAAGAAACAGGCTTGTGAACATTAAAAGTGACAAGGCTGGTAGAATTTTCCATCTTAGATATTTTCATGATGCTATTTTTTAAAGGCTGTACTTGGATTTTAGGAGGAAATGTATTCATGTAGATCAGTCTTGGAATAAATTCCAGTGCCAGAATGTCCTTTGTCTTGGGTAGTTTTTTAATAACTCATTTTCAATATTTCTGTTTCAAGGTCGTAACTCTCTGGCTTGTCACTTCGGTCTTGAGCATCCACAGGTGTTAGGGTTGTATTTTTTATTCATTTTGTCTTACAGAATAGCTGAATCACATTAATTCCGAAACTCAGGTCTACTGAAATGAACTGCATTGTAATTCAGTCCTAGATTAAACTAAAACTTAACTCCTATGACAATTTCGAAATTTCACATCTGACAGGGTGGAGATCTGTTTCCCAAGGAAAAGAATGGCCAGGTTTGAGATCTGCTATGCCTGGCAGGATGACATTTCCATTAAAAAAAGGTTTCAGAGACCTGCGTTTAGTTGGAGCCAAATATTCATACTTCATTTGGATAAACTATCGGTCTCTTTCTCTCTGACGTAATGACAAGAAAATTCTTGTTGCACTGCAGTTCAGAAGCTGAACTATTCCTGTTCTAGGCATTAAAAAGTGCAGGGAAATCAGGAAAGGCAGAGAAAGAAAGGAGACAGTTCCACTGATCAAGAAGGCTCCACGGCCGAAACGATGAGTTCTCTTTCTTCTTTTTTTCAGCATGGAATAAACCTATTACTTGTTCCTTTGCATATCTGAGTCACTATTTGTATTTCTTTATATTTAATGAGCCAGATATCAATACATGTATTTTAAAGTGCTAAACATGGAATAAGATATGTTCAGATATTCAGGACTATGGTGAGAGACACCTGATGGTTTACATTGATTTCTTTTAATATATGACACACAATGTTGCATTTGTCAAACCTTCAGAAATGACATTTTCACCCCACAATCTAAAGTGTCACCAAAGCATTGTGCTTGAGCCCCTTACTCTGAAACAGGAAGGAGCTGCATTCGTCATCTGCTGTGTTTGAATGTGACGTCCTGCCACAAATGATTAAGATCAACAACCAACCCGTTTAAAAGCACAAATGCTGCAGAAAACACAAACTAGACAGAGTACGGGCGTTGACACCTAAAGCAAAAGAACGACAAATCATAAAGAACAACATGAGAACTGGAAGACTCAAGGGGACACTTGGCAGTCTCACACTTGATGTTCCCACAGGAGGTAAAGTTAGCAGGAACGTCATTGTCTCTGACTGCTGGAAGAAGGACAGAGCACACACGCAGTTGTAAAATGTGGTGTCATGGGGAATTTCGACCACCATGAATCAGGTGCATCCGAGGATGTTGACTGAGCGTTGAGGGTGAGTGATATTTGGGTTAACCTGCTTGGGTGAGGGCTATTGCCCCCTGCCTGTGGAACTCGGAGACTGCAGGGGGAAGAGTGAACCAAGGGGCATCGGCTCAAGTGGAGATGGGCCAGGGGAGGGACGCAGGAGGCGAAATGCGAAACAAAGAGGAGTTTGTGATTTATACTGCATACAGCTAAGCGCAGTAATGCAGTGATGATCCTGAGTAGGAACAGCCAAGTGAAAGTGGCCTGTTGGTCGATTTCACAACCGTTTCTGTGTCAAAGATGAGTTAAAGAACCACAATCGAGCAGTGAACACCCACTGAAACAGGAACTCACAGGGACAAACACATAGCTTGTCTAGAAACAGGAAGGAAAACCATTTGTCAGTCTAGTTGAGCTGGGAAGCTAAAAGGTTTCGTTATTAAATGAACATTTACAGGGCTGTGACCAAAAAAGGGCTCAGAATGAGCTGTGAGGGACACAGTGCCTTGCAAAAGCATTCATCCCACCTTCCTGGGATGGGCCTCTGGTGAGCTGCAAGTTTCTTTGAACTGTGTGCTCTCAACAGAGTTGGAGCAAGTTTGCAATGGAGAACGTCGTGCAGTCTCAATGTGCCCAGCTGGTGGACACTCACCCAAAATGGAAATGTGGTCAAAGGTGCTTCCAATAGGTATCAATTAAGAGGATGAATACTTATACAATCGACATAATATACTCTTTTGTGGGTTTTTTTTGCAGAATTGTTGACATTTACCTTCCTCCACCCATGTGAAATGTGTCTGGTCTGAGGGTTAAAGTTCTGATAAGAAATATTCACTTGCAATATTTGCTATCCAGCTTATTATTGGAAGGAAATCAATGCTTTCTCTAGCTGCTGAAGAGCCATGATCCAGTCAGTCGAGGGGTCCCTAACCTTGATCCTGAGGATCCCCCATTTCTGTCAGTCTCAAACCCTTGTCCAGCCGAGTCCTGATGTCAGGCAGGATGTGATCAAACCAAATCTTGGGGAAAAAAAATGCATGTAGCTTGGACGTTCCCCTTCCTCACTGGCGGATGCTTTTAGACCTAGAGGGAATCTTTTCCCTAATCCTGACCGGTCTCTTCGACCCTCGGATCGTTGCTGCTGTCCTTCACCTCTCTGGGTCTCTCCCTGACGAACACCGCCAGGCACAGGACCAAGTTGAGGTCAAGGGGCACGGCCATGGGAACTAAGATCTCGATGCTCAGAATCATGGGGTACGTGCCGAGGGTCGAGATGAAATAGATCATGCAGGTCAGAGAAAAGGGGCAGTGCACCAGCGCTATCACGAGCACGATGAGGGCCAGCGTCCGCTGAGTGTGCCTCCTCTTCCCGCGGGTGACCGCAGAGGCGGCGGCCAGGCTCCTCAGGGTGCCGATGCAGAAGAAGGCCAACGGGACCAAGGGCAGGAAAAAAACAGTCACCACGCTGAACAAGATGTACCCCACCGCCGCCTGAGAGGTGGCGAACGGGTAAGTGACGCCCACGCCCAAGATGAACACGTAGACCCCCCAGATCCCCAGGGAGATGGACAGGGGGAACCGGAGAGTATTGGCCTGCTGGGACCAGGCAGGCTGGGCCACATGTAGGTACTTCTCCATGGCCACACACACCAGGAACCCCACAGTGGAGAAGGCGCTTATGCAGAAGACGCAGGAGGCGGCGACACAGAGCCGGAAACTGCGGTTCCAGTTCTCCAGGTCCACCGTGATGTGGATCAGCACCGGCAGCGTGAGCAGCTGGAGGGAGGTCGGGATGAGGAGGTTTGTCAGGAAGACGGGGACCCTGCTGCCAGACTTGTAGAGGCGGTACAGCCTATAGAAGGCCCAGCAGTGCACTGGCAGGCCAATGCAGAACACAATGCTGTGGAACACAGCCAGGAACACCTGGTAGATGTGACAAGGCCGACTGCCCTCTTTGGGCAGGTAGGACTCATCCATCATCTCCCGAGCATCCAGGCTGCGTGGAGCGCTGATCAAAGCTGGATTGGACTTCCTGTCCTTGTCAATGGGGACTGAGCTGTGTGTCCTTTCCTTGTCAGTGAAGGACTGAGCTCTGTGTCCTGTCCATGGAGACTGAGCTGTGTGTCTTGTCCTTGTCAATGGGGGACTGAGGTGTGTGTCCTGTCCTTGTCAGTGAAGGACTGAGCTCTGTGTCCTGTCCATGGAGACTGAGCTGTGTGTCTTGTCCTTGTCAATGGACACTGAGGTGTGTGTCCTGTCCTTGTCAGTGGGGAGCTTCTTCTGCTCCAGGGTTCTCCAGGTGAGTCCTCCAGGCGTCTCTCTCTCCCTGCCCCTCTCAGAGCCTCAGGAGGGGAGAAGGGGCTGTGACTCTGGTTCTAGGAAAGGGTTCTAGACAAAGAGAATACATTTCCATTCAAAGTCACTTCTCTGACACAAATCAACATTCCAGGAAAATGAAATCAACACTTACCCACCACCACAGGAAAGAGAAAAATAGGAGCATTAGATGAGATCTTTCCTCACCCGGAATCTAAATAGCACTGCTGTGCAATGACCTTGTTGATCAGCGAAATGCATCTGAACAGGGGATCAACATTGCTTGTATAATGAAGCGTCTGTCTAATTACTGCAGCTCTGGATTTGAGGATTTTTGGTTCCCATCACTCGTATCATTAGAGGGATTCCCGTCCCTTTACTTTCTTTGTTGTTAACTGGCTGTTTTCGTGGCCTGGGGGGGGACGTGACATGACGTGACGAGACGTGCTCTCACGCCGCGGAGCCAAACCCAATCCTTCCGCGCCCACACTGCTGAGCTCGAGAGTTTGCACATCCGCCACTTCCTCTCCTCCCTTCCTGCGGGTCTACGCCGGGGCTCTGTTCTTCGTCTGCATCCTACGGGCCCAAACAGCTGCTGAGAGCACCGGCTGTCGCCTCTTCCTCTCTCTCTCTCAGGCAACGCTTGGGACCGGCACAAACAGGAAGTTCTTTCTGAGGTTCTTTTAGATCCTTCACAACTGCCGCTTAATAATTACTCTTGAGCCGGGCAGCACCACATAATCTTTACAGTGATCACGTTCAATCGCAGACACGGAAAACAATCTCTGTTTGCCTGCCATTGTGTGCTGAAACGTATACAGTTTTTCGAGAATGTGGATTAGCAAACTAGTAATCTTTTCCAGATTTGTATTTATCCATAGTCATAAAGACAGGCTGGTAGGGACTTCTAAGTTTTCAGACAAACTGAAAAACAGGCAGACAGATACAGTATACAGCAAGCTTAGACACACTGACCAGCAGGCAGACAGACAGATACAGTATACAGCAAGCTTAGACACACAGACCAGCAGGCTGACAGACAGATACAGTATAC